CATCATTCACACAAGAATCCTTCCTCGGAAGGGGATTATCATCGAAAACAACATGTATAGACTCTTCTACAACTAAAGTTCTTTTATTAAATACACGATAGGCTTTAGAATTTAAGGAATAACCCAGAAAAATTCCTTCATCACTTTTAGCATCAAATTTGCCAAGGTTTTCTTTACCGTTGTTTAAAACAAAACATTTACATCCAAAAGGATGAAAATAACTAATGTTAGGCTTTTTATTTTTGAAAATTTCATATGGAGTTTTCTTTAAAATTGGCCTAATCATTACTCAATTTACAACATAACAAGCGGTATTTGTGGCTTCCGCCTAAAAATATTTTGGTAAATTATTTTCACAAAGCATGGTTCTAGCCATTTCTTCTAAAGTTTGATTTTTCCTCTCAACAACTCCATTTTTTTGAGGGGTTCTAGGTGCTGAAAAATTATGGCTAATACCGTTAGAGTTACAAAATTCAGTAAATCCAAGATTTTCAAATTCAGTTCCATGATCACTCCTAACACTAGTTATAGAGTAACCTTTTTCATTTTGGATTACTTTTGAAAATGTGATGAATTGTTCTAATGCTTCATCTTTAGTATTTAAAAATAGAACCCAAGTATATCTAGAATAGTCATCTACCAAGACAAATGCATATTGTTTTCCACCCAAGCTAGTAGTTCTAGTTGGCCCAAAAAGATCTAAATGGATCAATTGTAAAACTCTACTAGTTGATACATCATTAATGGATTTAAAAGAAACTCACTTTTGTTTTCCTTTAGCACAAGCATCACAGATTTTATCATTTTCAAATTTAAGCTTAGGCAACCCTCTTACTAGGTCTCCTTGAATTAACCGTTGCAAAACACTCATACTAGCATGTCCTAGTCTCCTATGCCATAACCAACTATCATGTTCATCCTTAGCAACTAGGCATAAATTAGTCATATCAAAAGAATCTAAATGCACCATGTATATGTTCCCTATTCTATGACCAACAAGCATAATCCGATTAGATGCAATGCCAATGACTTTACAACCATTAATTTAAAATAAGACATTGATTCCTTTATCGCATAATTGACTAATACTCAATAGATTATGCTTTAATCCATTCACATATAAATATTTTTAATTTGTATGGAAGAGGTATTACCTATTGTACCAATACCTTCAATGTGACCTTTTGAATTGTCTCCAAAAGTCACTTCTCCTCCATTTTTGGCGTCAATGAACCGGCTTTTGTCTCCGGTCATGTGTCTTGAGCATCCACTATCAAGGTACCATGAATTTGAATTTGTTTCCTGTGCCTTGTAGCAATGCTCATTTCCCTACAAACATAGATTAATTTTTTATTTTTGGTACCCAAATTCTTTTGGGTCCATATTCATTAGTTTCCAAAATCCTAATCCCCTTAGGTATCCATTTGTGTAGGATATTTTTATCTTTAGTAGTAATGAGTTCTTTAGGAACCCACATACTCCTAACAATTTTTTCATTAGAGGTTCTTTGGGGACCTCTATGATTGTAGTTTCTAAAACTTTTTCTAACAAAGTTGGATTTTGAATTTCCACCTTTTTCAAAATGTTTTGTTCCAACTTTATCAAAAGAAGTTTTAAGATCATCAATTTTCTTTTGATGATCATCATTGATCTTTGAAAGTAAATTTTGCAAATCTAAATTTTTCTTTTCAAACTCTTCTAGTTTGATTTGCAAATCTTTGATTTTACTTTCAAGATCGTTGCTGGTTTTGGATATGAGTTTGTTTTCATTTTTCAATTTTGAAACATCATTTTTATATTTTAAAAATAATTTCTCATAATCCGAAGGCAACCCATTATATTCCTCTAATAACTCATCATAGGATAAATCATCAAAATCGGATGCGTTAGAGGTTACCTTAGAATCTTCCCCAAATGCCATCAAGCACAAGTTAGCTACTTCTTGTTCCTCTTCATCGAAACCTTCTTCATCGAAACTTTCTTCATCGCTCCATGTAGCCACATGAGCCTTGTGCTTATTCTTTGATTGACAATTTTTCTTCAATTGTGGGCAATCATATTTAACATGCCCTGGCTTTTTGCATTCGTAGCAAATGATTGGGTCCTTCTCTTTCGGTTCATTTTTGAGGTCTTCATTTCATTTGAATTTTCTTCCTCGATAAGGTCTCATCATTTTTCTGAACCGTTTGGCAAACAATGCCATTTCCTCGTCATCGTCATCGTTATTCGAATCACTCTCATCTTTTGTGGATTTGAGAGCAACTCCAATGTTTTTCTTCTTCTCCTTCTCCTTTGGTGTCTCGTCAATCTTGTCGAGGTCCACCTTATCTTCGAGCATCGTTTCATGAGGTAGGAGTGACCCAATTAGCTCTTCAAGAGTTAAGGACGTTAAGTCCTTAGACTCGATGATTGCCGTCTTCTTTGATTGCCACGATTTTTGGAATGGAGTAGACTAACTTCCTCACAAGCTTTTCATTTGAAATGATCTCTCCATATGATTTGAGACCATTGACAATCGTTGAAAATCTATCCGTCATAGCTTTGATATCTTCATTTGGTTTCATCCTGAAATTTTCATAGCTATGCGTTAGAATACTAATTTTAGATTTCTTTACCTCATCGGTACCTTCATGAGTGACTTGAAGTTTGTCCCATATTTTTTTGGCGGTTGTACACGATGAAACTCTTCCGTATTCATCTGGTCCAAGAGCACAAAAAATGATATGGATGACTTTGAAGTTGAGCTGGAACATTCTTGTCTCTCCTTCACTCCACAACCTTGGATGAGTGAGAGGTTTGATGTATCCTTCTTCTACAGCATTCCATGCTCCCATGTCACTTGCTTGAATGAAGTACATCATTCTATTCTTCCAATAGGCATAGTTAGCTCCATTGAAGAAATGAGGCTTGTTGACGGGCATCGAGTCGAGACCGGAGTCGAAGTTTGAAGCGGAGGCCATTGATGACTTTGATTATCGATATAACTCTTCCCGAATTGACTCAAGAGGCGATTAAACCTTCAAATGAGTTAGGCTCTGATACCAATTGTTGAGTTAATCGATTGACGAATATGGCCAAGAGGGGGTGAATTGGCAATTAAAAAATTTGGTGGAAGCTTTTGCAGAAAATTGAAAGAAATTGCACAGCGATTTAGAGTGGTTCGACTTTATCAACCAAAGTCTACGTCCACTACCTTAGCTATCCACACTAAGGATTTTCCAACAAAATCACTAATTTGTTCTTTCTTTTGAGGCAAAGAGATAACCTTACAACTCCCTCAAGAATATACCTCAATTCTTGAGAACACTATTTTCTCAAAGAGAAATACAAATTTGCAAACTTACAAGAAAAACCTCACAAGGTAAGATGTTTGCACAATTCTATAACAAGAAAAGAACACTCAAAGATAATTAAAAATGAGCACAAATGGTGTTCTTAAAAGCAAAATGAATATTGAAAGGAAAATTGGCTTGATTTGCACAAACTTGGTGTTTGATGCTTTCTCTCTTGTTTCTCTATGATTTCTTGTTGATCAAGGGCTTCAGAACTTGTTTAAATACACCTTGAATCACTTCTGAACGTTGGGGATGATTAGTGAAGATCATATAGTCGTTTTAGTGTGAAAATAATTAATAAAACAGCTTGGAGCGTGGGGGGAATCGGTACCCCCTATGGGGAATCGGTTCCCTAAGTGTAAAATTCAAATATTTCGACTGTTATACAAGGGGGAATCGGTACCCCCTGGGGAGGAATCGGTTCCCTCCGAGCATACTGGAATTCTCGGAGCCAAACCATTCAGGGGGAATCGGTACCCCCTTAGGGGGGGAATCGGTTCCCTCTGAGCAATCTGTAATTTTTGGCTTTGAAATGGTTCGAAATACTTTGTAAAATTATTTTGAAATTGTTTTAAGATTAAAACTTAATTTTACACTTTGAGTAAGGATTAAAAATGATCTTTGAAAGATTTGGAGTAATGTTTTGATATTCGAATAATTATATCGAATATACTTAGAAAATCATTTGGAAAATCTTAAAATTCATTTAACTTAATTTGTTATATCGAAATATCAAAATGTTTACAACAGATTGGTTAGTCGCTACATGGAATCTCCAACAACCACCCATTTTAAAGCTGCAAAGATAATTCTTCGCTATCTGAAAGGTACAATTGACTTCGGCTTGTTCTATTCAGTTTCTAATGATTACAAGCTTGTTGGATATAACGACAGTGATTGGGGTGGAGACATAGATAATCGAAGGAGCACTACTGGATTCGTATTTTTCATGGGAGATATTGCTTTCACATGGATGTCAAAGAAACAACCGATTGTCACATTGTCCACTTGTGAAGCAGAATATGTTGTTGCTACCTCATGCGTTTGTCATGCAATTTGGCTTAGAAATCTATTGAAGGAGATAGGTTTGATACAAGAAGAGCCTACCAAGGTTTGTGTGGAGAACAAGTCAGCCATTGCCTCAGCAAAGAATCCAGTATTCCATGATCGAAGCAAGCACATCGACATTCGCTACCACTATATAAAGGAGTGTGTTGCAAGAAACGATGTGGAAGTTGAATACGTGAAGTCACAAGATCAAGTTGCCGATATTTTTACCAAGCCACTGAAAAGTGAAGACTTCAAAAGATTAAGGAACTTATTAGGGGTCACAAGATCAAGTTTAAGGGGGGGTGTTGGATCATAAACTTGATCCATTATGGGAGCCTAAACCCAAACCCAAACTAAATTGATGTCATTGCTTACATCATTTAAGTAAAGATGTCATTGCTTACATCATTTAAGTAATGATGTTATTGCTTACATCAATTTAGTTAGGTGAGAGTTATGTATTTGTTGAATTTGTAATGGTTTTGTGTGGTGTAAGATTGTTCTTGAGTAGTATAAATACCCCTCCCCATTTTAGTTTTAAGCATAAAGAAAAATTAAGAGCTTCTAAGTGAGTGAAAAAGCAAAGTCTTATAAGAGTGAGTTGTAGTTCTTGTTTTGAGTGAGAGCGCTCTTGTAATATTTGTTTGAGTTTCAATAAAAGTTGTTTGTGTGAGTGTTTTATTTCCAACAACAATTTCAAGGTCGAGTTGCTCTCCTCGTTGGCGTGACTTATCAAAGGCGTGGCGTTCTCTCCGGAAATGCCTTGCGTGGTCAGTTGGTAATGACACCCTTATCAATTTCTGGGATGACGTTTGGCTACCCTCTCTTGGATCTCTCAGACCTTATGCTCTGTCGCAAAATAGCATCGATACTTCTTTGAAAACCAGCCACATGGTGACTCTTGATGGTAATTGGGATTTTGAATTACTCTCAAACTTATTACTGCCTACTGCAATCCCACACATTATGAACATTAAACCACCTAATGTGTCTGATTGCCTTGATATTTGTAATTGGAGATGGACCCCCACTGGAACTGTTGCCACAAATTCTTCCTATCAATGGCTGCTTGAACAAAAATGGGATGATGAGAATAAAAGTTGGAATTTTATTTGGAAATTGCAGATTCCTCAAAGGATTCGCTTCTTCCTATGGCTTGCGCTTAAAAAGAGAAACTTATGACCAACTTAGAGAGATGTAAACGATCCCTCACTGACGACCCTTCTTGTCGCATTTGTGGTTGCACCGAGGAAAGCATTCTCCATATTCTCCGTGACTGGAATATGGCACGCTCTTTATGGAGTCAAGTGTTTCCTTTATCATCGCAGCAGGATTTCTTTTCTTTGGATCTACCAAATTGGTAATTATCCAACGTCTCCAAGTCAGGTACAAATGTCGTTTTTAATACACAACGGTTTTTTCTATTTGCTTCTTTGGTTTGGCAGATAGGGAAGCAGAGGAATGAGATGGTGTTTACCGGTGATTCAAATTCGAGAGAAGTTGTCCTTCATTGCAGCATAGCTTGGGCCCGTCATTTTGATTCTTCTTCTACCATCAACACCCCTGTGCATCAAAACACACATGACCAAGGCCATTGGAAACCACCCCCTGCGGGATGGAACTGCTTTAACACCGATGGCGGTGTTGAAACCCATTCTGGAAATGGCTCCATTGGAGGTGTGCTTCGTGACTCATCTGGTAGCTGGTTGGGTGGTTTCGCAAAAAACATTGGTGTATCCACTGTTCTTATGGGCGCTTTATGTCGGACTTCAAGTAGCATGGGATTATGGCCTTGAGATCCTTCAATCCAAACTGACAACAAACAAGTAGTACACCTTCTCGACGATCACAATACTATTACCCACCCTCTCTTGCTCGTTCGTGCAATAACAAACATAAGGAAACGCGTTTGGATAACGAACATCATTTGGATTCCACGTGAGGAGAATCAAGTCGCAGACAAGCTAACCAAGACTGCTCCACCTCATCATTTTCAATTAGTGATTCACGATACCCCACCTGCAGAACTGGAAAGCATTTTAGCCAGTGACCTCCCAGAAAACTATTTTCATGATAGTTAAACTTTAGCCTTCTTGTTTAGGCTTCTTTCAATTCAAAAAAAAAATGAAGGAAACATACAATACAAGTTTATAGTTTCGTTAAATAAGAGTCTTCAAAATTTAAAGTAGATTAGTCATAAAAAATTAATGGAATTACTTGAAAAAATATAAATAAATATTTCTATTAACAGTGAAAGATAAATATTATCAACACTAATATCATAATGATAATTGACTTCTATATGTAGGTGACACTTAACTCTTTTAAGGCCCTCCCTAAAACCCAATAAGGATAAGAGGATAAAATTTTAAGCATTCCAAGGCGTTTTTAACCCAAAAATATAGTAACGCATATAGGATGGCATATGGGTATAATTTTGTAGATTTCACATCGTACCCGTCTTAATTGAGGAGGGGATGGATATAAATTTAGAAGATAGTGGGTGAGTGTGAGTGTGGATGTAAAATGGCATACCCATCGTGGGCAGTGGGTAGTGAGTAGGTGATAGGTCAGATGAGTATAATTTTGTGGATTTCACACCGTACTCATCTTAATTGAGGAGGGGATGGGTATAAATAAAGTAGATAGTGGGTGAGTGTGGATGTAAAATGACATACTCTTCGTGGATAGTGGGTAGGTGATGGGGTTGAGACATTACCCACACTGCATCCGCCCGCTCTACATCCATCCGCTCACTAACTATCCACCATATAAATTTTGGATCATTATAAATTTAGATATGATTTTAGTGATTATTCTGTAAATCTAAAGATTTTATAAGATATAACTTGTAATTTAACCAAATGTTAGGGTCTAAACATTTTTAGAATTGAAGATCGTTATTTCTTCTATTTCAAATTACTGGGCATGTACGATACAAATGAGTATGAGATGGTGGTGGGTATCTAGTTAGATAGTAGGTGTGGGGATAGTTTGAGAAAGTACTCGTGTGGGCGGGTGAGGATTTAAAAAATTTACCCGTTATTGGTGGTGGGTAGGTAGTGGATATAAAAATATTATGTGGGATGCAGATGGAGGAAGGGATATCCACACTCGCCCCACCCGTTTGGCATCCCTAAACACATAATTGAGGAAGATTTCAATGGACCGTAAATCAAAAGTTCCTTCAATAAAAATCTAAACATAGTATTTATATACGATAAGATTTAAACCACATCATTAAGGATGGCAACGGATCTTGAACTCGACCTGAATTCGTAGATCCAAATCTGTTTTATAAGGTATGGATCATGAGATTTTAGACACGATAGATTCGAACCGAATTTGGATCTGGGTCTGGATCTGACACTGAAATACTGGTTTGGACCCGTTTATAGAAGAGCACACCTTCGATTTTAAAATATATATATATAAATGACATAATAAGTTTTAAAATATATAAAAATAATTTTATAGAAGGAGACACTTAAGTTCTTATAGGGTTGTTTTTTATACTTATTAGTAGTTATATTATTTCCCTTCCTTCACCTTAATTTTATATTTCACATTATTTTGTAATGTGATTTTTATTTATTTATGACAAGACACTTTTAAAGGAACACATGCTTGTTCTACTATAAATGAAGATTGTGATGATGAAGTGGAGGATATTATTGAAATAGTATATAAGAAAGTTATTATATTACATAACCTTAATATTAATATTTAAATTTCACAAATACTATTTTCATTAAACAAATTTTTCTTTTCAGTTGGTTGTTGTTTGCTTTAGGATGTTGATGATTTAAGTAGTGATGAAGACTAACACTCTAAGGAGGTAGAAGTACAATACTCAACTTGCGACAATAAAAAGTTTCATGATCTACATTTTTTAATGTTTGTGTTATTCAAAAGAAATTTGTGTAATTGTATTGGAGTTTTTTTTTTTTTTGAGACTTTAGTTTATCATTTTTTATTATGTTACTAGTTGTATTGAAATTAATGTTTCCTCCATTGGAAATATGATGTGAAATTAGTCAATGATAATTTTATTGCATTAAAAAGTAGGTCGAATGGTCATTTTTTTAATAGACCCGTTTTGGACTCGGAACATGAGATCCATTGGATCTGGATCTAGGTCCAAATTTTCTAGACCAGTAGATCTGAGGCGGGTCTGGATCCAGGATGTGAAAATGGATCTAGATCTGGGTCTAGTTAGATCCGATCCAGATCCAGCCAATTGTCATCCCTACATATCATTTAGATACTAATACTTAATTTTGTCAATACATCTAACTTTTCGAGATTGACTCGACCAAGCTCGATAAATAACTGATTCTAATTTTTAACGAGTCAAAACGAGCTATTTGATACTCAATTCGAAAAGCTCGTGAGCAACTCGAAAATATAATATATTAATAATTTACTTTAAAAAAACAAATAATTAATAATATTAACATTTATGTGTTGATTTTCTAAATGCAATATAACGTTTTCATGTTCAGGTTTGAGTTTGAGGCTTAAATCGAGTTAAGTTTAAGATTTTTTTTCATTTCTAGCTTTTACGAGCTTCAATTCATGATTTCAAGTTTGAGTCGAGCTTAAAACTTTTAGGCTCATGAGATTTCAAATCGAGTCGAAGTGTCAGGGACGGACGTAGGATTTAATGTTAGGAGAGGCGTTGAACTTATAAAATTCTATGAGGGGTGAAAATAGATTTTCAATTGAAAAATACATAAAAAACCTAAAGTATATAGTAAATTTAAATTTTTAGGGTGCGACTGCCCCCGCCTAGGTCCATCCCTGAGTCGAACTCCATTTTAAAGTTTTGAGTCCAATCAAACTCGACTTGATTCGTTTAAGCCCTACATCCAATTTCTCATTAGCAACGCAAGATACTTTTACACGTATAGATAAATATTCCGTTTCAATTTTATTACACATAGGGTTGTAAACGATTCGAGTCAAGCTCGAGTATTACTGAACTCGACTTGACTCAAAAATTATGAAATGGAGTTAGACTCGACTTGAACTCGAAATCATGAAATGAAGCTCGTAAAAGCTCGAAAAGACTCAAAATAAAAAAATCTTAAATTTAACTCAATTGAAGCCTCAAACTTGAACGTAAACCTTAAATACATGAAAACCTTATACTATTGTTTTTAAAAAAAAATCAACACATAAATGTTAATATTATTAATAATTTATTTTTTAAAAAATAATTGATAATATATTATATTTTATAACTGCTCACGAGCTTTTCGAGTCGAGTATCAAGTAACTCGTTTCGAATCGTTAAGAGCTTGAGTCGAATTCATTCAAATCAAGTATTTATTGAACTTTGATATAATCGATATCGAATAACTCGCAATCTTTCTCGTCTCACGATGCTAATTACACATTTCGTTTTCAACTTTCTCTTTCGCCCCCATCATCAATCACAATCACTAAATCATTACAACTAATGAAATTATCACCGAAAGGAATGTGGGGGAATCTTACGGTTTGAAATTATGTAGTATTTTGAAGTGCATGGAGTTGAAAATTTTGGAAAATTGATGGACTAAATCGTCCAAAATATCTACAACAACCAAACCATGGATTTGAAAAGACAAGTTTAGAGTGTAACATCAAATTTGCCAACGCTAGAAAATTACAGGGATATTAGTATTGGCCAAATTGGCCCATTACGGCATTCAGGTAAATTATTTAGCCCTTTAGGGCATCCAAACATTTAACTTGAGATCTACGGTAAATTGAATAGTCTTCGTTCCATGAGATATAATTTTTTAATGGATTGTGTCAGGTGGACCCCACAGTCGGATTAAAAATTTTAAAAATATTTTTTTCTTTAAAAGAAAATAAAAATATATTATTTTATGGCCATGAAACTTGTCATGCCGGTGTGACGAGTTCTAACGGGTATAATTTTCAAATTTTTGACTGTTGATAAACGATCGATTTTTTTAAAATTTCAATTGAATTCGTCACGTCGGTGTAACGAGTTCTAACGGGAAAAATATGTCTTCCCTTTAAGTTGTGGACATCATCTTCAATCTCTTACATTAGACACTCCTTTCATCTTCAATCTCCTACGCAAAAAACTCCTTTCATCTAACCAAAAATGTTTCAAACAATGGGCAACAAATTCTTCACAGTTGTCCATTGTAATGGCAAAATTCTACAAACTGATGTTGGTGTTGTGTTTAAGTCAGACAGGTCGATCAATATGATGTTCCCTATAGATGTATCGTATCGCCAAATGAAGCAAAAAATTGAGAGAAAACTTGGAGCTTCCGTTTCATGTTTAAGTTATCAGCACTTGATCTCCTCAAATCCAATGACATATGGAAAAGTTCAGCTTCATGATGACGACGATATTGCTGTTATGGTTGGACTTCATCAATCATCAGATAATAATATGGTGGAGATGTCCGTTGAAACAATGAATGCAACTGATATTCTGACGTCATCAGTACCAACTCGAATAACAGAAGAAACATGACCCTCTCAACCACATGGAAGTTATGGTGATGAGAACCTTGTTAGACTCTTCGATGAAAGCCTTGCTGAATTTAGCGAGGATGATGAAGACATTGTTCCGCTGGTAGACGATGACGACACAACATTAGTTGATGAGTCTGATATTGTTGAGGTTGCTTCAGAGGGAAATGTTTGGATGTTGAGGCAGATGTATGAGAGCCAGCTATTTCACGATGTCAAGGATTGCAGAATGCATCAAATGTTTGGACAATGACAGACCCTCAACTTGAATTCAATCATCATGATTTGCCTCGGTATCATCATGCAGTTACAATGCATGAAATTAACTACGATGTTATGCGGAATCCTGAAATATTTGATATGCTAGAGTTATGTGATGCCCACTGGGGTTCTTCAGACGAGTGGTCATCTGAGTTGGCTATTAGGTCTCAGTTTGAAACAAAAAAAGAGGCACAACTAGCAATCAAGGAGTGTTGTATCAAAGATCATCTTCAATTCTATGTCACGTAGTCGAATCAAAAAACTTATTTCGTAAGGTGTATACACCATGATGTTGGCTGAAAATGGTGGATACGAGTATCATACCTACAACGGAAGATGTCGTGGGAAGTCATAAGGTTCAATGTAGAGCACGCATGTACAATGACCTCCTTGAAACAAAACCACAAACATTTAGATTCGGATGTCATATGCTCTTATGTGAAGCTAGTGGTGGAAAAAAATCCAAGAGTATTCGTTTTTGTGTTAGTGGCATCCATTCGGAATACATTTGGTTATATTACGACTTATTACAAGGCATGGATGGCTAAACGGAAAGCAATGACCTTGTGGTATGGCAATTGGGATCAGTCATATAATGAGCTACCACGTCTGCTGCAAGCAATGAAATTTTTCATCCCTGGAACCATTGTTAGGTACTATACTCATACTGCAATCACACTTGAGGGAGACGTTATCCCCAAGAATAGAATTTTTGATGGCTTACTCTGGGCATTTAAGCCAGCTATCGAAAGGTTTAGATTTTGTAAACAAATGATTCAAGTCGATGGCACTTTTCTGTATGGGCTCTACAGAAACGTCTTGATGATAGTCGTTGCACAAGATGGAGACAGAAATATTTTCCCCATTGCTTTCGCTATTGTTAAAAAAGAATCGGAGGAAACTTGGAATTTCATTATCTCCAACTTGTGTTCCCATGTTGTCACTCAAGCAGGGGTTTGCATGATCTCAGATCGGTCATCTGGGTTGTTAAGCACAATTGGTAGACCCGAAAATAGATGGACGCCACCTCACGGATATCTTGCATATTCTATACGTCATATCGCGTCAAATGCAATGAAGAGGTTTAAGCAGAAAAATATCAAAAAGGAGATTATCAACATGGGTAAGTACCTTAGCATTTGTCATTAATTATTTTTGCTTCATTAATGTTTGTTTTGAATAACATTTAAGTTATTGTTTTTAGGGTATGCTTTACTCCAACCAAACTTCCGTGCACGACTTGAAAATTTGAGAAGATACGAAGATGATGTGTATGAGTTTGCAGCTGAAATACCAATAGAGATATGGTCACAAGCATATGATGTTAAGGGTCGACGTTACGACCATATGACTACCAACCTTGCTGAATGTATCAACTCAGTGCTGAAAATGACTCGACGTCTCCCGATAGCAAGTATTGTTAGGGAGACTTACTTTAGGTTAGGTAAAGTATGGGCAGAAAAAAGTTCACAAATTGATGTCATGATCAGCGATGAGAGAAATTGGGCTCTAGATTTAGAGAAGGCAATGCAAAAGAATCAAACACATGCGACATCAATTTTTGTCCACAATTTTGCCAGACTTGATTCTGATTTCGTTGTCCAAGCTCTAGTTCGACCACATGAGGGAGGTAATTCTACAACATACACTAGTAATCTGAATAGAAGATGGTGTGATCGTGGTCGATTTCAAGCTTTTAAATTCCCATGTGCTCACGCTGTTGTTACATGTATGCACATCAATGTTGACCCATACTTTTATGTTGATTACTGTTATAGCTTGCACACTATGCGTAACATTTACAGTTGTGACTTCAAGTACCTCCCAAATGAAGCATATTGACCTACGTGCATAATTTATGAGGAATGGTTGCCAAATCCTCGATTGCGTAGGAAGTTATGGGGTCGACCTGAATCTAGCCGAATTCATACCGATATGGATGATCCTCAAAGAGAGCCAAGTCAACCCAAACTTTGTGACCACTATAGAGGTCAAGGTAATAACAGAAAACATTATCCACATCTTCCAAAATATCGTATTGGACATTAAAATAGGAGTTACAAAATATTGAACTATATTTTGATATAACAATTAAGACATAATGTTTTTGGACTTTAATTGAATTTGTTCAAGGTTTTCAAAAAAAAATCAAAGTTCATTTTACTTTGAATTGAGCACAAAATATGATTTTGTACATGTAGTACCGATATTGTCATACCTCATACACAATATATATATTGTTCATATGGTACAGACACCAAAGGTAATGGAAGTATCGATACTCACAAGGTAGTATCGATATCGATACTACCAGCATTGCTCAAATTCCAGAATGAAAAAATGGTATTGATACTAGAAGGGGTACCGATACTACTTTGTATAGTTGTATCGATACCATAGACATAGTATCGATACCATTAGACCCTAACAGCTAGTTGATTTAAAAATAACAAAGGTAGTACCGATACTTCCTTTAGGATTGCTATTACCCTTTGTACAAGTTTTTTTTCTAATTTGGGAAATTTTCCTGCAAGTTCCGTATAATTTTTAACCTCAAAATTTTAAATTTTTTAACTTCGAAATTTTAAAAAAAAATAATATTTTTTCAATTTTATTAATTACAATAAATATCAATGAAATTTAAACAATTCTAAAGTTTTTATAATTTTGCAAAAGTACACTTTATTTAATTATAATTTAAAAAATAAACAAATTTATTACTTAAAATTATTTTTTGATACAATTAAATATTGACTACAAAAATTTAAATAAACAAATTTATTACTTATATTTAAGCAAATCTTACCGATGTCGAGGCGTGGTAGAATAGTAATGACGCGGTGCTCGTCGATTTCATCGTGGTCGTCCACTTTCTTCATTTTCCTCTTATTTCGGTTTCGATGTTCCGAACACTACTCCACCACTTTGATATACATCTTCGGGTGAAAATGATGGAGTACTCAAGGTATTTGATGTCATCATTGACGTCATCGCCTCAAATTGAGATTGTCCGTGATGAAGAAAATGATCCCATGGACCTCTTTCTTCCGGTTCTGAGGAAAATTGTTGTGAAGGTGGCCCTTGATCCCACCCACCTCCTTCCCACGCCGCTCGACTCTTCATTGATGGTTGATATGCACTATATCCACCATAAATTTCTTGCGATGGATAATAATTAGCAGAAGCATAAGATGAAGATGTTGACGAAGATGATGATGATTTTCCTATATTTTTCCTTCATTATTTCCCACTCGGATCACTCCTCCGACGTTGTCAAGTATGGTTTCCCATTTGCTTCATAATTTTGGAGGTAGGTAGAAACATTGAAATCAAAATCTTCAGCTTGTACCTCGGAACGATTTGGCAATCGTAAATGTCTATTTTGCCAATCATATATGAATGTAGCATGCTTCCTCGGCTAATCTTTGCTATGCTTCCCACACACATCTACTTTATGCAAATCGTCAATGTTATGTATTGACATTTATATGGGTTGGTGAAACCCAAATTTTCGCAAAACTCTATCAGCGATATGGATCTCAACAATTGTGAAATGGAGCAATGGTGTTATGGCACACCATGTGTCCGCTCCTTCAAAGAACATTGGCGATAGACACTATTGGATTTCCAACTCATAATAAGACATCCAATTAAACTATCAAAAGTATTATGTTAGTATAATTAAACAATTAATATTACAATTTAAAAGTTAATGCAAAAAATACGAAAATTTATCGCATGTCTACTGGTGATATCAATTCTCATCCGAATATCTCCTTGGTTGCACCCGACAACTTCATATCGATTATTCGGTGTCGCCATCAAAAATAATTACGTTATTTATTGTCATTTTCAAAATATTTAAATAAATATTATAAAATATGAAAACTTTAAATATATTAATTTATGTAATAGGCGTCATAAACGGGAGACGATACCACGCCCATGATTGGAGCAAAACTAAACAACCCGCTACATCTGTTTTTTTCCTCTAACGACTACGGTCGCCTTACATAGTTGACGATACAAAAACACCAAAATTACAGAACCCCAACTATATTGATGACATAAAACAAAATCCTCCATTACCGAAAGATATTGGGTGTGCACAAAATTGCCCTATTTATCCAGTAGCAAGATCCATCCAATCAATGTCAAAAGATATGCTCGAGCTGCATATATCACCTCTTGCTCCATTGATTGTTCATCAACTCTAAATTCTCTTTCCAACCACGTCATCCGTACCCACAACCCATCAATGACATCGGTTGGAGTCTCCTTTCCCAATAAATTTGAAATAACATTATTTACCTTATAAGTGTTGCGAAGCACCAATGGCATACCATTAATCGGAATGCCAAATTGATACGCGACATCTTCCAAAGTTAACGACACTTCACCACAAGGTAAATGAAACGTATGTGTTTTGGGCCTCCAACGCTCAATCAACGCCGATATCAGTTCCGACATCACCTTAAATCCGCGAAGAAACGTTGCTCTATTTAATCCGGATTATGAAAGATATATCACCATCCACTGATATGGCTCTTCATTCGTTATTCCTCGATGATGAATGATTCGTTCTTCTCGCTACAATTTGAAAATAAATTATTTAATGCAATTACATAAAATAATTATTATTAATACTATAATTTAATCAAAACTAAAATGAAATAAAATAAATTAAACTTACCGTTGTCAGCTCGATCGACAAAATATGAACTTCATCAAGATGTAACATTTCATCTCTTGATGTCATTTCAACACTTATTCTTCAACATAAAATATTTTGCTCTCAGTAGAATGTTTGATTACAAGTGAAAAATCTATCCAACTCAAACCTCTATTTATACTACTCTACCCAACGACTAGTTTTTTCAAACTGAAAATAGCGTTGGAACTCGTCACACCAGCGTGACGAGTTCCATTGAAATTTTAAAAAAGATTCGACCTTTTACCAACTGTCAATCCGACGGTTAAAAATTTAAAAATTATACCCGTTGGAACTCGTCACGCCGACGTGACAAGTTCCATGACCATAAAATATTATTATTTTTTATTTTCTTTTAAAAAATAAAAAAAATTAATGGGACTCGTCACGTCAAGATATATTTTTTTATTCCAGCTATGGGGTTCACCTGACACGGCCCATTAAAAAATTATATCCCATGAAATTCGTCACTCCGACGTGACGAGTTCCATGGGGACTGTTCAATTTACCGTAGATCCCAAATTACATGTTTGGGTGCCCTAACGGGCTAAATAATTTACCCTGGTGCGGTAATGGGCCAATTTTGCCTATTAGTGTCTCTATCCATTACTGTTTCAAAGGCTGCTTTCACACCGGCACCAACAAAGACCAAAGTTTGGCCAAATTTTGACCCAAATTTGGAGGAATCAAGGACAATTGATCTAAATTTAGGCCATTGTTTACCGAAATTCAGACAAAGGTTCGTTAATTTCAAAAGCAAACGATGACAATTCATTTCAGTTTTGATACATTAATTTTACATAATTTTGGTTCATACAATAATAATTTGAGTCTTCAAAATTTGTAAATTATGTCAATTTAATATCAATTAAAAAAATTAGCATATAATTTTTACAGTTATATTACTTTTTTTTAGAATTATGATCAGAACATAATGTATAAAAATAAAATTGTATTTATTAACATATCAATCAAAATTAGATAAAATAGATGAAAATATTGACGTTGGAATTAGTTGTCCTTAATTGTTTGTTTTAAAAATTAACATGACATAAACTGTTCTACTTTCTAAAAGGACTAATTTATTTAATTTTAAATTTAAAAGAGATTTAGAAAATATTCTTACTAATAATAAATCAACTAAAATGGCCATTTCAGTAATATTATATCAAATTTATATTCATATATTTTATATGTAATTTCGATATTCACATAAAAATTAAAATAAAACAGGTTCTTCATTCATTTGAAATTTTCATTAAAAAAAATAAAATGTCGCGAGATATATACCTTTTTTTTAATAATTGAAGAGCACGAGATGTATATGCTTGAAATTATCATTGTAGTTAATATGTTTATATAATTGTAACAATAATCAATTAGTACAATCAATAAAAAAAACAATCAACACATGATAAGTTGTGTAATCTGTCTTTATTTTGTGATATTTCCTCGTGTTTTTGTTAATTAAATGCTTAATTTGTAGAATTTATATTTGTATAACTTTAATAAAAAAAAATTGAAGAAACTTTGGCATATTTGGAAAAAAATGAGCTTAAATATAAACTTTGGCATGGATTTGCCTTTTGGAGTAAAATAAGGCGTGAATGAGGTTGATTAAAACTCGATAAATATATAAACAATCAGACGGTTTAGTGGGATGATACATTAATATTTTTCAACAAGGTCAGGGGTTCAAACCCTGACGTTTATGAATGGAATAAATTAGGTTAGGAGGGTCGTCATTGTTTCTACAGTACTCGATCTGGATTAATCGATCAATAAATCATATATCAATGATTAATTAAAAAAAACTCGTTCTACTACTAAAAAACAAATACTTTAATATAATTAGACAAACTGAAAGATCTGGTCGTAAAATTTATTACACATTTCGTTTTCGTCTTCCTTTCTCAGCTCATTTTCAATCACTATCTATAAATCATTGCAATTATCATATAAAAAAGTAATAGAAAAAAATAGAAAAAATATAAATCCTTACTATTAATATATAAATTTCCATTCTGACATATTCATGCATAGGACAAGTCGAATACACCAAGAAAATGAATGGACAAAATGGAACATTAGAGATATATTTTTATAAAATTTTATGTAGTCATTAAATTTA